CTGCATCTTTCATAGTTTGTCTACATATCAAACTCATTAATATGAATAATCAACTTAGCAGTAGTGCTTGTAGTAGCAAAGAAACTAGTTTTGTCCCATGTGTTCACTGTAGTGTTCATGATTTCCAGGATCTGCGCAGATCTTTTTGAGAAAGTGATGTGGAATCAAGTCACGCCCACGTTGCTCCTTTCCACTTCTTTTTCCTACTCACGTAAAATACTTCTCAACCTTAAAAACTGCCGCCTGTGGGGGTAAAACCATAAGACACCACGAAGAAAAATGAAAAGAGTGTAAAAAATGTATATGTTTATCCATTTAGGGTTTTCCCTGGGGTGTTAGAATACCCTTTGACACTGCAACCCTCTTTATGGGTTACTCACTTGATGTGGAATTGGGGAGAATAGCCAGTCCCTCTGGCAGCATTCTCCTCATGAGTCTGTACCCATTATTGGAATGGAAAGAACCCAAAACCTTCATTTTCAGAACTATCTCTCAGCCTCTGGCTCCTGGAGAAAACCAGTGTGGTTCCGCTGTGGGCTGGGAAGAGTGGTTTCACTGGCATCAGCCTTGCGGGTGCTTTGGTGCTGGAGCGCACACAGCTGTGGGTTCCAGATGCTTGCTCTCCAGTACTAATGTGGCCGACATGTGAAACCTTGGCACCCGAGATACTACACAAGGGTCCACGCCTCTGATAGTTCGAGGGCTAACACCCAGCTGAAGAAATTCTTCCTTGAAGGACTGGAATACATTCCAGAGCAGAAGGTTCCGCAGACGGGTGGAACCAATAATGAGATGCCTGGTGTTCTTAGAGGGGTACCAGGGACTGTGTCATAGGTGTGTGTAGGTTTGGGAGCTTTAACCAAAACAAAGCAAAGCAAAACAAAACACAAAACACTAAACAAAACAGGCTTGTCTAATCTTAGATTCGTAAATTCTAATTTCGTGTCTGTGCAGATCGCAGAGAGCTCGTACCCTCAGGTCACTCTGTCGTTTCTCTGGAGATGTCAGATGTAAACCATTAGTGGTACTTGCTGCCTGGCCCAGGTCAGGGTGTGTTAGAAATGTTCCCATCAATTTTTATTTCCCTGAGCTCTCTCTAAGGATGGTGGAACCAGGGGAAACTATAAACTAGGGAAAGGAAATCAGCATGGGGTTGGGTGTTGCTTTCTAAGTTCAATAACTAGGACTCTTTTCAGAGCATGCGGGATTTTTGCCCCTTCCCACTCCTCAGGCTTCTGTTTCCTGGTAACTGTACTGGAGAGAACTGGGATATTTCCATCCCCCATCCAGTTAGTGAGAGCTTTCTCATTCAGATACAATTTCCAGTGAAATAGTAGCTTATAAGTATCCAGAAGTTAGTTTATTGACTCTTCTTGCACTTCTGAGTACCTGCTAAATAATGTATTAGTCTGATGGATATGTGGCTACCTAACTATGGGGCATGAAATATGCACTGTTTTTCTAATACACTGTAGGGAGACCTGTTTATAAAGTATTTAGTATTGGTTTTATAATGCACTGTTGACAATAGGAGACCACGAAGCTCAAAGATCAATCTCATTTTGGCCCACAGTATTAATGCTACTTGATAAAGCTCTGTGACAGGTCATTTAGACGATGGTCCTGTGGAAAGGACTCTGTTAGGAAGACAGGCGGTAGTGACTGCCAGCGCAGCAGATAAATATCTTTGTCGGTGTCCCTGAGGTGGCTCTGTGGCAGCTGCTGATTTTGGCCAGGTGATGGAACCTATTATTTCCATGTTCTCTAAAGGAATTCTGGAGTGAAAGTGCTGAGTTCTACTAATACAGCTCTTGCTAATTGGGCAGAGAGTTAGAGTGACTTTGGATCACAGCTGCAGAAAGGAACTGGGCAGTAAGGAGAGGACTTGACTCTCAGCTGTGTCTCGTGTTTGCTAAAGAAGTAATGCTTTTCCACATCTGTTCCTTCACTGAACTCTCCCGTGTGACACAGTATGAAGTGTTTTTGAGTTTTGTTTGCTGTGGCTAATTTCCTTAGCCAGTAATAAATTCACAGACATTTAAAGATACTCTGTAAACATTTAGAATTGCAGTATGTCTAAATAAAAATTAAATAATTTCATCCAAATCATTTCTCAGCTTTTAAATTTTTTAATAAGTGCTCCTTGCTATGAGAATGCCATGTAATTTCTATGATACACTGTTGTCTTTTAGAGTGTACGTTTTGGAGAAAGGCATTTTTCTCTTTGCATTCAGAGCACCTGGTTTGTTGTAAGCCTTCTGCTTCCTCAACTCAGAACTACACTGTCTTGAACCCATTTAACATGGTTGTGACTTCTCGTGCTTTTTTGCAAACCATGGCTGAGTTATTTCTGCTACTCACCATTTAAAAAAATCATTTCTCATCGGTCCTGAGTTCCATTTACCATCTCTAGTTGGGCCAGCTTTTCTCCCCCAACAGTCTTCGTTTCATCCTTTCCTGTGTCTCTTCTCAGGCAGCCTCACTTCTTACTTTTTTGAGATGATTATTTCTTTTGTACAATAATCATTTATTGACCATTTGTTCTGTGCTAAATGCTCTGTTAGGCCCTGCAATACCAAGCATAAGTAAACTCTGTCTCATTTAGCTAATACACTGTTCAATGGTGGAGATGGTCCTTCAATTGGCTTTCTCACATCAGTGCTCTTCATATATTTCTTAACCCCAGAATTTAAAAATATTTCCTACCTCTGGTAGGGTACACCAATACACAAAGTGTGTTTGTGTCCTTTTAGAGGCACCTTTTCATTTATGTTCTTGATCATACTGTGTTCTAGCACCCTTTTGTGTCATTTTCCCTCAGACTTGGATCTGCCATATTCTTTTCTGGCGTCTCCTATTTTACCTCTGTTATGCTCTTTATTTCCCTGTATTGAAAAATCTTCAGCTCCTTCACAAAACTCCTAGCTCCTGATAACCTTTTAAGCCACCCTTTTATTCGTTCATTGCACAAATTTTCAATGGTGTACCTTATCTTTTCAGCCTCTTTGGCTTTACAGATTGCTTACATCATAACTCCTTTGGAATATGGATTCCATATACTCTCAGTCCAGTATAAGATAACTGTCACACAAAGTGCATTTCTAAAATATTTCAGTCACAAATATACCTATTTACCCAAATTTAAGAACTAACACTACAGACACATCTGAAGTGGTGCAGGTTATTATTCAGTGTCTATCGTCCCAGTCCCCGCAGAGCCTTCCTGTCCAGCCCCTCTTCTCTCTCCACCCCTCAAGCACTCTTGCCTTTGGTCTTTATCAGCCTCATGCATTTTGTTTTACTCTTCCTGTATTTCCCTCTATTTGTTACTACATTTGCTTTTACTATACCCTAGGTAGAGTATTTCTTATTAGAAGCTTTAAAACTCTTGACCATCCTACCTCCTGTAAGCTCTCCTTGTCATTCAGAACAGTAGATAATTATGATATCCCCGTTAACACTGCTCCTTCAGCTTCTCTCTCGGCAACCCTAAGATGCTAACCTCGCCGGTGTGCTCTACAGCTTACGTCATGACTGTGTAAATGGCTGTTATGTTGGGTGATTTCCAGTATCAATCTGTTTATTAAACATTTCTCGTTGATTAGTTGTCTGTATGATCTGCTGTTGCCCCAAAGTGACCTTGGTATATATTCCCATGAACTGATTTATTCCCATTTATATTGAGAGTGTTATCATTTTCTTTGCTCAGAATATCGGAGGTTTGGTGTATTCACTGACTCTTTGCATTTTTACCCGCATATTATGAGTCACTCCTTGATTTTATCTTCACAATATGGTTTGTAACTTGCTCTTTTTTCCCATTCCTATTACTGGCGGTCATTTACCCAGTTTATTATAATAGCTTCCTAGTTAATCTCCTCACATATTTCTTCTCACATTCCAGTCTGAGTCCTGCTATTGCCAGATAAACCTACTAGTAATGATCGTGCCGTGTTGCTATTGAGAATCTCTCAGGCCTTTTGAACGTTAGTGGATTACAGAGTAAATGGCAACTCTTCATAGTGGAGTAGAGAAACCTTTTTATTATAATGGTTCCCAGTGACCGTCCGTGTTCCTTATTGCCACGCCTCCTACTTTACGTTCTGGTCACACTGAATCACTTCTCTAGGAATATTACAAGTTCTTTAGTGCCCAGAACAAAATCTGCTTGTGAGCTTTCTTTTACCACATTGGCTCTAAGGAATCTTTTTCTCATTCAGATAGGATCTTATGACTGAGAAATTATATATAATTTCATTATATATAAATTATATATAATTTTATTTTTCATTATATAATTTCTTTTTCTCATTCAGATAGGATCTCCTGGCTACCGCATTGTTTTTTATGTAAGGTCATTTTGCGCATGGCTTCTCCTCTGCACTGGATTGTGAACTTCTTGTAAGAAGGGAGTATGGCTTTACTTTTCTGTTCCCACAGCTCTTTGTACCTGGCAAGTAAGGCCTTGATAAGTATTCCCTAACACTTCCCAGAAGTGTTCAAGATGTCTGTATAATAAGTGTAAGAAATAAGAAATTATCCCAGGGGCTAGAGTGTAGCATGGAGGAGGACCTGGGTTCAAACCCCGCTGCTCCCCCAAAAAGAACTAAATTGAGTGAGGTTATTGTGTAGTCTATTTGTAGGGCCCTTGCCGAGCATGCGTGAGGCCCTGGGTTTGATCTTCAGCACTGTGGGGAGAAAAGGAGAGGAGGTAGGGGAGAGCTAGTTAGGGCAAAAGTGTATCTGTTACCAATCAAGAAATTATTCAGTTATTCCTGCTTGTTACCCTTACCCTCTCCAGAGTTAACTTACTTAACTCCTGGCTGCTGTCAGCCTTAGAAACCATGAACTCTTAAAAAGAAAATGTTTTGGGTGGTCAGGGGAGTATGGTGTGTTTGCAGGTTTTAAAGTTTTTTTTTTCAATTGTGTTTATGTATTAGGCACTTTTAAAGAATACTGTCGCAGATGCTATATAATTTCCTGTCCCGGTCTCTCCGCAGGCACGATTTGTGCCCCCTTCACCTCCAAATCGCCTTAATTTCACGTCAGAGGGCAGACTCAGTGAGCAAGACTGGCAAGCACATTTCAAGGCTCCGTGCGGGATTGATGCATCTCAGCTTGAGGTACGTTGTTCTCGTCCCTTTAGGCCACTTGGCTGTGCCTACACGCTTTCACTGCGCAGCTACAGGTCCCTCTCATCTAACGCTCTCTTCTCCCCGTGCTTTCCCTGCCTTCCATATTCATCCTCGTGCTGTGAAACTCATGTGTTTACTTGCTTCCTGATGCTTCTTGTCTCTGATGAAGTTGTTGCAAGCAGGGGGTTGAGCGGCAGTTAGTTGAGTGATTTTGATAGTGACGAACTGTTTGCCTTCTTCTGTCTTTTCCTTTTTCTCCAGTCCTGTATTTTTCTTTTCCATTAACCTTTCCCCCCACACACAGTTGCAAGGCTCATTTATTAGTATGCATGTTTTTAGTAGTAGTACCATTAGTATTAGTGAACTTTTGGAACTAAAGTGTCACATACTTACAGAAAAGCGCACAGACTTTTAAATGTAAAGACCTAATGTAGTTTTGCAAAGTGAACTTACCCAGGACCAACAGCTAGATGGAGAGGAACAACTTTCCCTGTAGCTCAGAAGTTTCCCTTTCCCTCTTCACCAGCCTCTGTTCCTTACAGACAACATCACTGCGCAGGCCTCCTGAGCCACCTCTTCATTCTTCCTGTTTTTAACTTGCTGGTCAGTAGTTTTCTGGCATCTTCTGGTTAATTCTGAAAAAACCTCCAAAGTCATTCAAATTTGCTTTGTTTCAACATGTTCCACTTGAATATGTACGCATATAAAATAGTCTTTGGTTTTATGATGAATTTCAAACTTCTAAGTGTATTGGCGTTTTATTTTTTAAATTTATTTTAAAATTATCTGTAGGCGTCCTTTTGTCTGTGATAACTTTAAAGACAGTGTTATATTTTTAAATAATTTTGTAAGGTATTAAGCCCTACCCTGCAACGTGATTTTCTTGGGTGTCCATGAATCTCAATGAATCTCAATCTTCCTTCCTGACAGAAATTGAAACTATCATTATGACATTTTTGCTGGAGCTACAGGCTTCTCAGTTCACAGTCTCCAGAAGGAAGTAAATAAAAAAATGAATGTTATGTTTTAAGTACTGCAACTGAGTAATTCCCACTGCGTCTCCCAACACCACCTCCCCCTTTAAAGAAAAGCATCACTCATTATTTTTGTCCAGAGATTTCCTTATGAACTGTTGAACGTGGGTTGTGGTAGAAAGAAGCCCCTGTCAGTGCTTGTATTTAGAAAAGATTATTGTCACTTTTCTGTTTTTAAACCAAAACAAGGTATGTAAAATGTTAACCATTTGTGGGCAAAAGATTCACGCTGACCGTAGATGCGTTTGTGTCTGGGGATCTTTATTTCAAGGATTCATCATTAACTTACCATTCTGTAAACTACCTTATCTACCACATCCTGCTCAAATCTTTTCATTGTTTTATTTTTATGGTATCTAAAAGGATTATAGCATTTAGATGTTTTCTTGATACGGTACTGTGAAACTGAGCTGCATCACAGGTTCTTGTTGGCACAGAGGCAAGTGTCAGTTGGAGCAGTTTCTTGTTTTTGCTGTAGAAGGGTTGTGAAGCTTTTAGTAATAGTTACTTATGGAAGATGTTCATGCCACCGTTTAAATTGATTTAAACCTGAGTCCTGTTCAAGCCTCATGTTAGGAGGCCTGTCTTCCCCAGTTGATCATGAAATGATGTGTTTGTTTTATTTCGTCTTGTTTTTTGTAGTGCTGAGAATGGAACATAGGGGCTTATGGATACTAGACAAGTGCTTTATCACCAGGCTTGCCTTGAACTTGAGATCCTCCTGTTTCAGCCCTTAGAGTAGCTTGCATTACAGCTGTGCATATTACCACCCCCAGCTCATACTGATGCTTTAAGTGTAAAAGCTTTTCCATGGGGTAGGTGACCTTTTCTTGGGGGAGGGGGCCACAGGTATAGCAGTTGCTATTCCTTTTTGTCCTGTGTTCTGATGTGCTATTCCAGTGAGGAAACTAGAGCATTTAGGATCCGCAGTACTTTGGCAGAAAACTAACCAAAAACTGAAGGCAGGTCTGCACGTCTTATTTATAATGTCGACCATGGTCTTGACCCCTGAAATCTTCAGGTTTTTCTGGCTGAGGCTTCTGTATGGTGATTGTCCAGCTCAGGCTGCCAGAGCCATCTGCCAAAGGTGTAGTCATAAATGTGAACTAACATGTACAGTTCTGACAGAGACTCATGCGGGAGAGACAGGCCAGTGAGTAAGACTGGCAATCAGAGATAACACAATTTTTGCGTCTCACATTGGAGTCCATAAAGATCCTTGATCCTTCTTAAGTGCAATGTGAATTAATCCATGAACCGTTAACCAAAATTTATGTCCTAAGTTTTCAGAAGAGTAAGTCTTTAAAGAGGAAGAGTTAAAGATGAATATAGTCACATAGTTCTTTCATACATAGGCTCTAGGTTAGATACAGTAGTTGGCCTGCGTGCAGTCTGGATTAAAGGCTGCTACGTTCAGGTTTGGCTCAACCATTTAATAAACTGACACATGAAGGAGAATTGTTTTAAGCAAATAAAGTTTTCTAGTTTTCTTAAAACTTAAAAACAGGGGTACAGCTGGTACCCCACGAGTGTTCACAACCATCAGATGTCACTGTTCAGGAGTACTTGGCTGTGAAAACGTGGGTGTTTCATCTCTTCCGAACGAGGATGAGAACGGACAGGAATGAGGAGCTAGTTAGAGAGCGGGCACTTAGGTATAAATGTTAGGTGGGTTTAGTTGTAAGATGAGTACTTTTATGAGTAAAAATGACAGTTCATATAAGAATTGTATTTTAAGAGCTGCCTTTTAATCTCCCCAAAGCATACAGTTAGAGAATTTCTTCTGTGTGTGTGTGTGTGTGTGTGTGTGTGTGTTTAAAGGAAGATAAATGCTTTATTGTCCTCTCACATTACATCTGTGAGTCAAGGAGAAGCAAGCAGCTTAAATTATGATATAATTATTCACAAAGGGAACACCTGAATTTGAATTATTGTTAGTGTTACTTTTTTTCTATTCTTTACAGTGAGTCAAAAAAGTTCCCCCTTAACTTCCCATAGAAAATAAAACTTTACACAATAAAGTAGAAATGGCAGGTTTCACAAGGGAAAAGGCTGCTGTCAACTTTCTCCTCAGGAGTATGGAAATTTGGGCAGATTATCTGTTCAGAAGAGGTTTCCTTTATTAATTCTTTTTCCTTTTTTTTTTTTTTTTCACTTAAGACATCTGTTAACATTTCACACAGTCCAACAGATGTTGCCAAGCAAGTCCCATACTTTGTTCTCCAGAAAAATGACATTTCCTCAATTGCTTGCCCCACCTCTGTGACTGAGTCCAGCCTGCTACTTCTGTAGAATTTGCATATATTAAGTTATATACCTTAATGCATTATGAATCTGAGCTTGTATTATTTTACATGGTAAAGTCTGGTTTGATTAGAAATTAGCTTATATGTTGCTCTACAGTTGAAAGGAGAAAACATTATTAAAATTTCCCTTCAGAATGGCAGCTTCATGCTACATATAAGATTGGATAGCCTGTTAACATTTTTTCTATAAAATAAGTGAATTACAAAAGCTTGAGTTGTTTCACCATAAGGAAGTGCTGATTGTCATGCGATGTGGAGCGTCATTTTTATTATTTTGGCAAGAACAGGGACAGTTTTGTCTTGACAAGCCATTAAATGAATACCAGCATGTGTCACATGAAAAACCACTGATCTTTAACCCAGCTCTGTACTTAACCAAGCCTTGAAAATGAATAGTGAATAAAAAAGAAGAGCAAAGGCCAGTTTACTGTCATTACAGATTACAGAATCTGTTAATAGCTGCTGAACTGAACCCAGGGAATTACAGGTATTGTTCTGTAAACCAGCAGAAGTCCTAGAGATGCCTCTTAAATTGTGTACAGAAACTCTGCACTTATCTTACATTTTCTCAGCATTAAGATGTTGGAAACAAACCTAGAAAAATTAAAATTCTTGAGTACTTTCTCAGGATAGTGTACACATGACTTTATCACAATACCATGTGTATTTTCATAGAAATTTCTCAGTGAAATTTTTTCTGCTCCTAGTGCCAGTGAATTTTTAAATAAATTACTAAGAAGAAAAGAAAATCCATGCAGTATTTCCCCCTTTAAACAATAGCCATAAAACAAGACCTACCCCACAATCATATGTCCCAAATCCTTTAACTTTCTTCTTTAGGGATGAATGGTCTGATTTTTACATCAATATGTGATTTTTTTTAGCAGATGGAAGACCCTAAACCTGCCTCAGTATCCAGCACTGAAAAGATCAGTTGCATTTTAAAGTCAGTTGTGGGGATTCTCGCTTACAGAGCCAACAAGAATGAACAGTCTCTCTGACTCTGCTGGTAGAATTGCATAGTGCCTCCCTGAAGTCTTGTTATCCCACACTAACTGAAATGCAAATTCTTTGTAACTAATTGGATCTCATTGAGGGTACATGCACAGTGTGTAGTTCTATGCACAAAGCTTTTTAAAAAGTAAAAATTCCCTACAATTATAACTTTTAATCACTCTCCGGAACATTAGTGTCTGCAGTACACATTCAGAATGTCTATGTCTGACTTTCTAAACAGAGAACTCAAAAGCAGGACTTAGCAAATGCTCCAGAAAATGCCAGCTCGGAAGTTACAGGAGAGATGTTGCAGGGGTCTGTAAGTTGGACTTTATTAAAGTCCTGTGAAAATAGTGGCTCTTTAAAGTTTAGGATTCAGTATCCTCGAATCAGGATATGGTGAGGAAGGCTTGTTAACAGTGCAATTTTCTTAGAAGATTTAAAATATTAAAACATCAAAACATCAAAAACATCAAAAATCACTTCCAAAAGCTGTTACCTATTTTCCCCTCAGTTCTGCAGTCCACTGTGTCACTGTAGAAGATACTTGAGTTTCTCACTTGGTTTAGATCTATTTTCGCTGTGTGTTGTGAGAAGGGGAGCTATTCACATAATGTCTGTAATGAGTTGGATACTATTAGATGTAGTTTGTATACTTCCTAATTTACACGGTCCATTTCTCGCTATCAGTAAATGTAGCAGTGCCAATATATAACCTGTAGTACTTGTGATGCTTTAACCTGAAATACATGGATGGAATCAGGGAGCAGAAACAATCATGGTGGAGGTGATATGTAACCCCGTTGCTCTAGTTTTAAAGAACTTTGGTACCAGTGATGCCAGAGAGTTATTCCAGAATCTGCGGAACATGTAGGTAAGAGAAAAACTTAGAAGACATCTGGGCATTGTAGGTGTGATTTTTGGATATATGTCCTTAAAATGATAAAGCGTCTCTCATTTGCTAGATAGGAAGTTATCACAAGATCAAGGGTTCTGCACTTCGCATTGTATATGGAAGTGAGTGGCACGTTCAGAATCCTGTACGTTGGGAATTTCCACAGTAAAACTTGTATTAAAATTTACTTCAGATGAGTGTTAGAAGTTTGACATTCACAAAGCACTATGTGTATACATTTGAGGTTTTTGTTTTATCTTACTCATGTGTGTATGGTTAGGTCTTTGGGTTGTTGTCCCTTACTGTAGCAAACCCTGCTCTCCTTATAACTAGTTTCATAAACTAATTAGGGTGCTGTCTGATCAAGTCCATTAAACAGGTGCAGCATATTTGTAGTGAATATTTTTTTAACCTTCGATATCCTGGTGCGAAGGCAGGACTGTGGCAGTGAAATCTCAGTAACAGTTGCATTGCAGACCTGGTCAGCCCAACCAACCCCAGACTCTGTGATCCCCGAGAGCTCAGTTCGCCTTCTCTGGGCAGCATTTTGTCAGAAGACTGCTGGCTGGGCAGACCAGATTTGGATGTATTAGCTAGTCAGCCTAATAACCCTGTACAGACTGTATTGATTTTCTAGGAGAGAGTTTATGAACTAAATAAACTTGGGGTTGGTGTCTTAATAAACTGCTTCTCTCAGTCTGTCACATTTAGTTACGGAGCTGTGCAGTTTAGGGGGGAAAAAGGCTAATTCTGTTACAGATTGTTCACAGCAGGGTCTCCAAATTAGCCCTTTGTTTTGTAATGCCACCTTGCTTGGGCTCGCTTTGAGCACATTTCTCAGTTTTGCCCTAATGAGTTGCAACACTGATAATGTGGCTGATGATCTTTCATTGATTTCACTATCACTTGCTTGTCTGGTAATTGATCCGTTGCTGAGCCTCTAGTTAATTATATCGGCTTTGACATGGCCCGGTCCATGGGGAATTTCAAGTCTTGCAGAATAACAGTTTTAATAAAAGAGTCTATTACTGCAGGTGCTTGCTGCTGCATGCCAGTTGATTTTTGTGTTGTGTTGTGGTGTGCTGTGCTGTGTTGTGCTGTTTGTGTGTGTGTGTGTGTGTGAGTGAGAGAGAGAGAAAGAGGGAGGGAGGGAGGGAGAGAGAGAGAGAGATCGACCCACTGACTGCCGGACCTGGGAAAGAGGAGAAGTGCAGGACTGAAAGAAGAAAGGGGTGGGGGCTGGAAAGAGAGCAGGGAATGAGCGGGAGGAGGAGGAAGGGGGAGGGACAGGGGGAGAGCCGGAGGGAGAGGCGGGAGAGCACACGGCAAGGCGGCACGGCAGGGCTGGAGTGCAGTGAGGAGGAAGCCTGCTGTTGACAGTGTCCTTAAGCCTCCCACAAATAACAGCCATTAGTGGGAAGGTCAGGAGCTGAGCAGGCAGCTTGACTGAGGCCCTGAGTGCCACTTCAGGAATCAAGAGGCCAGCGAATTTTAGAGGGGGTTTAAGTGGGTAATAGCGGGCAGTAAAGGTACAGTCACTGTTGGCAACTGACTCCTGGGGGTTCTCCTGCCCTCCCCCCTAAGAATATTTTTATTGACCACAGGTGGACTTAATATATTTTAAGGCAACAATTCTTTGGGTTCCTGTTTGTTTCCTCTCAGATATTGAATTTGCTTCTTTGGAGACTTTTTTGTGCTTAATGGTGGTGAACTGGAGGGAACTTTAACAGAAAAGCTTTCAGGAGATGTCGGTTCTCGTAGGGAAGGCACATTTGTGTCAACACAGTGTGCGTTTTCTCATCTTTCCTCATTGTCCACTAATGACACCGAGCTGCCATTGAAGCTCTTTCCTGTTTCTTTTGTTGTTTGGGAGAATAAGGTTTATCGTTATTCTTTAGTTAAGGAGAAGCAGGGAAAGTGGTACATTTGTCCTCGATATTTGTAGGTGGTTGAAGATTAATGCTCCTTACATTTTAAGTTTAGGAAGGATGGTTTTTCCTGCTGACTGCTTTTATGAGATGGCATGAATTTAGCTCTCCGTTGTGAAGTTACAGTGTTTATGTACAGTGCATTTTGTTCACTTCTGATTTTCCATAAATAAGATAGATACATGCTGTCTACTAAGTAGATCTTTTGTTTTAAAACTGGTTTAATTAAAAATACAACCTGCATTTGAGGCTGTATTTCATCAGGCAGGAAAATCTTATAGAATTTTCCAGAGAGATCTTGAATGAAAAATAGAGATTTTATAGTCATTACTTTCTGCCTGAAATGGGACAGGCTTTTGCTTCTTCATCTTTTCCTTTATGGTTTGCAAAAATATTGCAGGTGCTTCACCCAGGAACTTAACAAAGGATTTTGTTATACTTTTGAGCTTTAAGGACAGGTACTCTTTTTTTTTTTTTTGCCATTCAGTTTCTCATTAATCTTCAGTTTAGTAATTAATAGCCTGAGGTACTAAATTGTAGTGTGTATTTATTTTGCAAATGTTTATGGTACAGCTTCCATTTTAAACTGCTAGGTCTACTTACTTACTCTTTAGAGTATAAGGTCAAATTCGTATGTATATTATTTTCTCTATGGGTTTATACAGTATGTAGTTATTTTAGCCAAGCAAATACTGTATGACTTTTAGCAGCTAACATTTAGAAAACTGAGCCAACTTTATGGTCCTTTCCAGCCTAGTATTTTTACTTTCTTTCAGTGTAATTTTAAAAAAATTAAGTATCACAGTTTCAGAAATGTTACAGACGGGTGTCAGAGATTACAGGATACACCAGAAAGCACTGCTGGGGAAATCTCCCTGGGAAGGACCCTCGCCTCCCTCGCCCTGTGCGGTGAGGGAGCACAGCTTGGAGTGTGCAGAAGTGTGTATCTGTCTCTCTGTCTGGAGAGGAGTTAGTGCAGGGTGTCATTTGGTGCCTGACAGTGGAGCACTGCAGTCGACTCCGAGCTCTGCTATCCAATGACATGCAGTGGCTGAGGGTTTGAAGCTGATGGTTGGGTCTCCAGTGCAGCCTGCACACCTGACAGGCAGCTGTTAAACCGAGCAAAGGCAAGCCTGGGGAGGCACAATCTATGCATAAGTGATAGGGGTATCTGTGCAGAAGGTGCGAAGGAAGCTCTGAACCCCTCTTCCCCCCAGGCTCCCCCTCCCCAAATGCAATGCACAGTTCAGCCAGCTTCTTAACTACACTACACTCCTGCTACTGGCTGCCAAGAGGCTCAAAAAATCCACCTTCACTTTTCAGTCAGAAGAGGCAGAAGTGGATGTGAGAGAAAGAGAGACACACAGAGACAGAGAGCCGAAGAGGGCGAGAGACTTGACTTTAAGAGACTCCTATACTGACAACTCCATGCAGTTCGGAACCAGAGCAACTACGGCTGAACCAGGGTTCATGGGGACATGGCAAAACGCTGACACTAACCTCTTGTTCAGAATGTCCCAACAGGTAAGTTACTTTCTCTTCTTCTTTTTCTTCTTTTTTTTGGGGGGGGGGGCGCTCTGCAATGTGCACTTTTGTTTCTGTTACTTCTCTTGGTGACTGTGTGTTAAGTGTGCTCCCTTCGCAGGCGGTTTTGTCCTAACTGTGGTACTGGAATGCCAGGGTTACTTCACGCTCTCCCCAAGGGCTCCTGGAAAGAGAAGGGGAAAGGACACTGGAGGGAACGCGGGGCGTTTGTCGCGAAGTTTCGCAGGACAGCCTGGCTGGCGGGAGCACCCAGTGCCTTTGTGCTCGGGTAGCGGAGAGAAGGCTGGCCCGCACGTGCGCCTGGCTGGCCGAGCCCTGGGCTGGCGTCCGCCGCCGCCTCGGAGCGGTCC